TAAGCCCAGGAGTTGGAGATTGCTGGAGCGACTCTGCTGCACTCTACCAAGGGCGAAAAAGTGAGACTCTGTCTCTACAAAAAAAAAAAAAAGAATGGAAGCCCCAGAAATGAGGCTTGGCTAACTCTGATGAGAGTCAGACTGGGGTATGTATGTCGGGGGTGGGTCGTTGGAGAGAAGCAGGCTAGGTTAGGGAAGAGGTGTCACTTGACAGGTCCTTAAAATCCAGGATTAGGAGCTTTATTATTTCAGGAAAACAGTATCCTGCGAGTGATACACCTGTATTCCAACCAGGTCTAAACTTTTGGAGAAGAAAGGAGAGGCAGAAGGGAGAGGGTGGTTGGCCCCGCGATCGATTGCTTGGAGCTCGGCTTAGCCAGGCTGGGGGTCCTCACAGGGGCTGAAGACTCGGCGCCCAGGTGAGGACCGGACTGGGACACCCCGCGGGGAAGGTAGTCGCCGGGGCTGGACGCGGGGAGGAGGGTCTGGGCCCAACTGCCCCGCCGTAGTTGGCGTCGGAAGCCGTGTGCGGACGCGAGGAGTTGTCCACTGCTGGCCCCTTAGGCGCCCAACGGCTCGGCTCCCTCAGCCCCGCCCACCTGCCCCTTAGCCCCGCCCACCGGCCCCTCATCCCAGGCCGAGCGGCCCCCTCGGCCCCGCCCACCGGCCCCTCACCCCGGGTCGCGCGGCCTCTCAGCCCCGCCCATCGGCCCCTCAGCCCAGACCGCGCGGCTCCTTGGCGGCGTTTCTGGTGAGAAGGCGGCGCGTCCTGCGGCGCACGAGGAGGGCAGCCTCCCTCGCGGTGGGACTCCACGGAGCTGGCTGAGAGGGGTCTGTTCTGGTGGCTCGCGGAGCCTCTTGTGTTTGCGTCCAGGGGTGTGTGGCCTCCTGACGAGAGCTGGTGGCGCGTGCGCGTCTATTCCGGCCGTCTCGCTTTACACCCCTGGGAACGGAGACCCCGGGGGCGGGATGACTGCCCCAGCGCGGGGCTTGGGCCACACGCGGGGACCGAAGCCTTCTGCTTTGCGGGGCTTGCTTGGATTTAGAATACACACTAGAAAATCCACAGGGGCATTTTTGTTTTAGGTCCTCATTCGGTTCCAGGATGGACCCGTCCCCCGCCTGGTTGGTGCCTGAGGAGAGGGGAGTGAGTCTGAGCCTCTGACGATTGGGTGGTCCCTTCCCCGGCCGGGACTCGGGGACTTGAAATAATTTGTTCCCATGGTGAGGATTTTGAGACAGAGTCTCACTCTGTCGCCCCGAGTTGAGTGCCCTGGCTTCACAGCCCCCAGCAACTTCAAACTCTTGGGCTCAAGTGATCCTCCTGCCTCAGCCTCCGGAGTAGCTGAGACTACAGGCATCCGCTTCAACACTTGGCTAGTTTTTCCATTTTTAGTAGAGAAAGGGGTCTTTGCTCAGGCTGGTCTTGAACTACTTAGGCAATCCACCTGCCTTGGCCTCCCAGAGTGCTAGGATTATAGGCATAAGCCACCGTGCCTGGCCTCTTCCCACGATTATTCTCTTACTTAAAAATTCTCTGCTATCGTTTGTAATGGTCGGTTATTCCAGTGAATGGTGATTTCTCCTTCTTCGCTATTTCTAGCAAATGAGTAGTTTATTTATCTCTGGTTTTGTACTTTTGAAATGAGAAGTATGTTTCTGGCAGTAAAAATTGTAAGAAATAAATAATAGATTCGAGACTTTGCACAAGTACAGATTATAGGAAAGAAAATGCTAAATTGTCATTAGTATAAATAGAGAAGGTGCAGGTGGGCTCCACAGGCAACAGATTATGTAGTCACAAAAGTATTTTAAGTATTCTAACAGTGATTAGAGCAGAGCAGACAAAAAAAAAAGCCATTTCAGAGGATATTATTTATTGTGTTTTGCAATATAATTTTGTGCCATATGTCGAAATGGTAATAAATAATCCAAAATGAAGCAATTTTGAAAATCTAAACCTAGAATTTGTTTAATTAATTCAAAATTTACCATCCCTTCACATAAACTCATACCGAAATATAGGAAGATCCTTTTTAGGGCCTGTATTAAAAAAAATTATTTACATAGTGAAAGTGCTGAATTCATTACCTTTAGAACCTTCACGATTTGAGGACATGAATCCTGAACTAGGCAAAAACTCACATTTTTAAACTGAACATTAAAGTTTTGGAGAGTAAAATTTTAAGTTTCATAATTAATGGAAACATTTTTTATTTGACATTAATATTACTTTTATAAACCGATTGTTACTAATACATTTATTCCACAATGAATACTTACAGACCACATACTGTTCTGAATTTATTGGAATACATTATTGAGCAAAACGTTCCTGCTTGCTTTAAAGGGAGAAAGATAATGAACAACTAAACATAATGTTAGTTATCAATGTATTATGAAGGAAAATAATGCAGATAAGGGGATGAACAATAGTTAAGGGATTTTTTTCCCATGGGGTTTAAACATCAGAATTAAAATACATAATATTTTTATTATGAACCAAAACAAGTTATATTCTTGTGTATACTAGAACTAGAAATCAAAAGTGCTTTTGAAAATATTTGCTGGTTTGATAGGTTTTTCAATTATAATATTTCCCCCCAAATTTGTAATTTTATTATTTTATTTGCAGTTTCTTTTAGATAAAGAATTCAGGTATGTGCTTCCCTAAAGATTTTCTACTTAAATTCTGAGGTAGCAAAATCATATAAAAATGGTCTGGTGAGTTTTAATTTAGAAAATGTTTTTTGGAGGGGGGTTGGGTTTGATTTGGTTATTTAAAAACAGAGTTTCCCAGGCAGCACCTGTGGCTTGGTGAGTAGAGCCCCGGCCCCATATACCGAGAGGGTGGTGGGTTCAAAGCCAGCCCCGGCCAAACTATAACAAAAAAATAGCTGGGTGTTGTGGGGGGTGCCTATAGTCCCAGCTACTCGGCAGGCTGAGGCAAGAGAATCGTCTAAGCCCAGGAGTTGGAGGTTGCTGTGAGCTGTGATGCCACAGCACTCTACTAAGGGCAACAAAGTGGGGCTCTATCTCTAAAAAAAAAAAAACAAAAAACCCAAAAACAAAAAAACAAGTTAAAAACAGAGTTTCCCTAAAACTAGAAAGGGAATATTTTATTATTTTTTATACAGTATAAAAACATGATTCTGAAATTGTTTTCAAGTTCTGAAATTATTTACTTGAAGATGTTAAAGACTCTGTCAGCATAATTTTGAATGACTCCCTTCTTCCTGCTGTCATATTATCCTAGTTTCTATTTTCATAAAATTAAATTGCTTTAGACACTTAAAGAGCCACAGTAATTTGTTTTGCTCTTTTACAATTTCTTTTTGTTGGTGACTGATTGATGAAATGAGAAAATGAAGAGAGTGATTAAATTAAACAAATGGAAAGGAGAAACCCAATAAAGAAAACAATGAAAACCCCCACAGTATTCTGGATCAGTAACAACAGTCCTGCAGTATACACAGGTTTACTCTTCTTACTAGTAGCATTTTGTGGAGGGGTGTGCACCTAGAAACATTTCTTAGTTCCCATGTCACTCCCACTTGTATCTTACCCCACATCAGGGAGGATTCAAAATGGGACAGACATAATCTCAGAGATTAATGTGTATTTCTCCACCTGTGTATTTCTCCATTTTAGTTTCTTTCCTGAGGACAAATTTGCAGTATATTAACGATCATAGAAGAAATAGAAATGTGATTATGTTTTATGATTTGTGAATTGGACTTAATGTTTTGTCATATGGAATGTTATATAATGTTTTGGAATTTAGAAAAAAATTGGGATGTAGTGTTGATGTGCAGGGAGAAGTAATTGCACTGTGAAAAGAGCAACCTCCGTGTCTGTAAAAATGGTTTCCCATCACATTGGAATCTTTGCTCAGCTGGGTTTTTGTTATATTCCTAGGTGGCCAATGCTGAACTTTTTTTTTTTTTTTTGGAGACAAGAGTCTCACTTTGTCGCCCTCGGTAAGAGTGCTGTGGCATCACAGCTCACAGCAACTTCAAACTCTTGGGCTTAAGTGATTCTCTTACCTCAGCCTCATAAGTAGCTGGGACTACAGGCACCCGCCATGATGCCTGGCTATTATTTTTTGGTTGTAGTTGTCATTGTTGTTTGGCAGGCCTGTGCTAGATTCGAACCTGCCAGCTCTCATGTATGTGGCTGAGCTATAGGCGCTGAGCCTATGCTGAATGTTTTTATCCTTTACGTTTATGTAACATCTATGAATATAAAAATGATTTTTTTAAAAAGAACATAAGCATATTACAGGTATATGTAGTATATGCTTACGTAATATGACTATAAATATACACAATATGTTAAACTTGTAGTTCTTTTATTTTAGGAAAGTACAAACACGTAAAGAATAAACAATATTATAATGAATCCCATGTACCTATTACGTAGCTTTAGCAATTATCAACTCATTGCCAATATTGTTTCATCAGTACTTCTCTCTCTGCCTTTCTCCCTTTATTTTGAAGCACATCTCTGCATATATTCATAATGTATTGTTAGAGGTGTATACATTCATGATAAAATATACTATATTAACTCAAAAATAATGATATGAACTATTAAAATATTTAGAGTCCAAAGGAGTGATTAATTCTATCTTAGGGAAGAGCACAAATTCAGAGAAGCCTTTGAAGAAGAAATGATGTTTGACTTACACCTTGAAGGATGGATGGGAATTTGTCAGATAGAGAATGGAAGAAAACTCATTATGTGAAGACAGGGGTGTGAGTGTGGAAATGAATGAATGAGTGGAGAACAGAGAAAGATGTATTTGAAAATTGAGGAACTTTGGTGGAAGTTGCAGAAGATAAAACTAGGAGGATAGTTTGTGGTTATATTTTACAGGAGATTGTGGGAAATTAATAATTATAGTTTTTTACCCCCAAATATTTTCCTACACCTTTGTAAATAAAATATAAACTACTTTCTGTGTTTTATAGATTGATGACAAAGTCCAGTTTTCAACAATGCTGAAATCAAATGACTGCTTCTTTTCTTTGGATAATTTGTTTTTTGAAAAACCAGATGAAGTTGAAAAGTAAGTCTACATTAAAAAATAACAGTGTATTTTTTAAGGGTTTTTTTTTTTTTTTTTTTTTTTAGTTTTTTTTTTTTTTTTTTTTTAGTTTTAGAGCATTTTAATTTTCTCACTGGTAAATAAAAAATTAAGGATCTGTAAAATCAGTTATATATTTGGTAAATATGGAATTCATATTCAAATATAAGAGAGTAACTGAAGTTTAACATTTTGAATATTATAACTTTTTTAATGGAATAGACTTTTACCTATTTGGCTTCCATTTGTTTATGTTTCTAGTATGTTCAAATTATTTTTGGCCAAGCTCAAGAGTGGAAATAATGGTTAAAGAGTAGCTCAGGACAAGGAGTGATGGTACCTTTTGGAAACAGAATGGGCAGTGTGCCAAAGGCTATGTGTGATAGGAAATTTAGTGCGGGCAGGAAGTAGGGGTGCGAATAAAATGTGAGGCCAAAGGAAACAAGAATAGAGAGTAGGTAGTCTGTCAAAGACTGGCTTTTATGGATTTAATGTGTGCATTGCTCTTAATTCTGAATTTTTTGTGTTTGTTCTATTACATTTTACTGGAGCATATTTATTGCCTCATTTATTCAAATATTGATTAAATAGTGAAAGGGATATGAAAAGGATGAAACAGAATTTTACTTCAAAAAAATAAAATCTAGAGTATAGGAGATTAAACACACACATTGAAAGGTCACTAGTAAATAATGTGACCAGGTAATTCATCATCTAGACTGGGACTCTTTTTTTTTTTTTTTTTTTTTAGACAGAGCCTTACTCTGTCACCCTGTGTAGAGTATTGTCATATCATAGCTCATAGCAACCTCAATCTTTTGAGTTTCTCTAGCCTCAGTCTCCTGAGGTAGCTGGGACTACGGTGTCAGCACCCGGCTAGTTTTTCTGTTTTTAGTAGAGACAGGTTCTCTCTCTGGCTCAGGCTGTTCTGGAACTCGTGAGCTCAAGCAATCCATCTGCCTCAGCCTCCCAGAGTGCTAGGATTATAGGCGTGAGTCACCACACTGGGCTAGACTGGGATGCTTTTGAGTGGGAAAGAGTACATCTAACTGGGTCAACAAGTATTAATCAGAACTGGCTGATGCAAATTAGGGAACATTTTCAAAGGTTATTCTTCTAATAGTACAAAGTCAACAATATGTGCACTGCAAATAATGAGCATATATTAATGAAATAAAATTTCCGATTTGGAAGAAAAGTCATTTTTGGCTACATGATCAGGTCAGGCTTTATAGTAATAGGGGGAGACTTCAGGAGGCCTTGAAGGATTTGCTAATTTTTATAGGCAGAGAGGAAGTTACAGTGTTATATCCAGACAAAAAGAATGAATCAGACCAGTTCATCAGACTTTTATGGAATAGTGTATGGAAAAGTTTTCTATAGTAGACAATTCATAGAGCAAAAACATTGGGACATAAAGTTAGAAAAGTAAGTTGAGTAAGAGGCAATTGTGGTGGGCATTAAGTGCCATAATAAGGATCTTGGACTAAATTTTCTTGTGTCTTAAAAGCCATGGAATTAAATCAATAGTTACTGAAGAGTCTACCTAATTATATAAAGCACTGTGTTAAGTACCACTGACATAATGGAAATAAAAACAAAACCGTTAAGTGTTTACAGTCTAGAGAGAGTATCAGATATTTATGTATCTACACCACAACAGATATAATGCAAGGTAAGCTGTAATAAATATAGGTTTAGTTTATAAGAAGAAAGAAGGGTGGCTGGGCACAGTGGGTCCTGCCTGTAATCCTAACACTTTGGGAGGCTGAGGCAGAAGGGTTGCTTGAGATCAGGAGTTTGAGACCAGCCTGAGCAAGAGAGACCTCGTCTTTACAAAATTAGAAAAATTAGCTGGGTGCATGCCTGTAGTTCCAGCTACTTGGGAGGTTGAGGCAAGAGGATTGCTTAAGGCCAGGATTTTGAGGTTGCAGTGACCTACATGGCCCATTACAAAAGTTTTGAGATACACAAAAATCAAGAAACAAAATCCACAGAAATAGAAACAAATGAAACCCTCCCAACAACACTGATAAGCCCAACAAGTTGAAACTTGCACAGGTGAATCAGAAAAGATGCTGTCAACTGTGTTTCTTGGAAGTGGAATAATGGACCATACCACAATCTGTCTTAAAACTTTCATAGTGACTCACATATGATGATGCCACTGCACTCTAGTCTTGAGTGACAGAGCAAGATCTTGTCTCAAAAATAAATAAACAAGTAAGCAAAAATTTTAAAAAAGAGGGTAGGGAGAAAATCTTTGGGAAACTAGTGAAATAACTTGGAAAAATTAGAATTTGGGCTGGGTGTGGTGGCTCATGCCTATAATCCTAGCACTCTAGGAGACTGAGTTGGCTGGGTTGCTTGTGGATTGCTTGAGCTCATAGGTTAAAGACCAGCCTGAGCAAGAGTGAGACCCCATCTCTACTAAAAATGAAAAACTGAGGCAAGAAGTTAGCTTGAACCCAGGAGTTTAAAGTTGCTGTGAGCTGTGATGCCATGTACTCTACTGAGGGTGACAAGAAAAAAAAAGAAAAGTTAGGCTCGGCTCCTGTAGCTCAGTGAGTAGGGCGCTGGCCACATACACTGAAGCTGGCATGTTCGAGCCCAGCCTGGGGCTACTAAATAACAATGATGACTGGGTGTCAGGGTTCAAACCCAGGCCAGGCCTGCCGAACAACAATGACAACTACAACCAAAAAATAGCTGGGTGTTGTGGTGGGCACCTGTATTCCCAGGTACTTGGGAGGTCACGGCAAGAGAATCTCTTGAGCCCAAGAGTTGGAGGTTGCTGTGGGCTGTGACACCACCGCACTCTAACGAGGGTGACCTAGTGAGACCTGTCTCCAAAAAAAAAAAAATTGTTGGGATTTGGTGTAGATAGACTATATGGTGTTCTTCTCAACCTTATTTGCTGTCACCTAACACTTATCTTTTTGTCTTAATGAAAGAACTTCAACTTTGATTGGAAAAGAACCATTAAAGCAGTATTTGTTGATAAGATCACAGATCAAAGTTATGGAAGGGTAGTTAAAGATGCCAACAGCATGGCAAAAATCTTATCAATTACTGTAGGGTTATAAAGGGATTTTCAGTTTCATTTGGTTGCTTGGATTTTCTGTAGTTTAGATGGCTCTGGACCAAGAATATTTGGGTTAGGGCATTAACATGTAATAATGTTGTAAGAATATTCTAGAATACAGTAACAGTATTGTTTGCACATTGATGACCCATGATTAGTTCTAAGGTATGTCATAAGTAATTTGTTACTTGTAATAGTTAAAATACTAGAGATACTACTTTTTAGAATATTGGAGCAGATTTAAGATTGTTGTTACTGGAATTTTTTTTTTTTTTTTTTTGAGACAGAACCTCAAGCTGTTGCCCTGGGTAGAGTGCTGTGATGCCACAGCTCACAGTAACCTCTAACTTCTAGGCTTAAGCAAATCTCTTGCCTCAGCCTCTCAAGTAGCTAGGACTGCAGGCACCCACCACAATGCGCCCAGCTATTTTTTGGTTGTAGTTGTCATTATTGTTTGGCAGGCCCACGCTGGATTCAAACCTGCCAGCTCTGGTGTATGTGGCTGGCACCTTAGCCGCTTGAGCTACAGGCGCCGAGCCTGTTACTAGAATTTGAATTGTAGGAAAGGAGATGTCTTACTGCCATTAGTTAGGTAGCTGTCTGACACATAGCAGTATCATTAATCCTATGACATAAGGGAAAAAATGTTGAGAGTACTGCTGTATAGGGAAGGATAAATCAAAGTAGTTACAGAAAATTAGTTACAGAATGTTTATCTAAGATTCTGTACTTGAGTAATGTTTCAGTGTCCTCCCAAATACACAGTGTTTAACGTTATATCCTTGTTAATATATATATTCACATTTTTATATTTTATATAGCTATCCAAACAATGAAAAGTCACTGGATTTATTTCTTCCTCCTGCTCCACTGATTTCAGAAATTCCAGATACTCAAGAATTAGAGGAAGAAATAGAATGTCATAAACTATTAGGTAAATTAGCATGAATTTGTTGTAAGTGCAAACCTGTGCAGTTCATGTCAATATTAAAAGCTCTAATTTGATCATTACACATGTATCAAAATGTCACATGCATACCAGACATATGTATAATAATTATGTAAAGTGATAAAAATTCCTTTATTTTAATGAAATAAAATGAAAGTAAAGACTTATTTTTAATAATGTTCACCAAATCTTAAAATCCAAAACAGTTTCGTTCTCCATAGATATACGTACATACATATATATATATATGCACACACACACACAATAAGCTATTACACACACTTGTTTTGACTAATGTTCTGGAAAAATACTTTTTCCTCTTACTAGTAAAACTCCTGTCACCACTGTTCAACTTGCTTTGTCCTTTACTAAAGGTAACCAGATTTCTGAAATATACTGAATGAAAAAAGCAAGATCCAGAAGATTATGTGTAGTTTGACACAATCTTTATAAATCTCAAAAATAAGCGCAAATAATGTATGTGATATAATGTAATATTGGTAAAATATTAATTTTTAAATTGGGTCATAGGTGCATACATACACGTTTTATTATTAACCTTCACAATTTGCATATATGTTATATGTACAAACAAATATACTTGTATCAAATAATATATAGCATATATACTATATTTAGCATAATATATGTATGTTAGATGCTAAAGAAATGTAAACTATAGTAAGGCCTCTGAACTCCTCTTAAACCTCTCAAAGAATCTTATAAAGTCTCTATAAAGAAACCTTTAAAATTCTGTCACTATGGGGCAGCACCTGTGGCTCAGTGAGTAGGGCACTGGCCCCATATACTGAGGGTGGCAGTTTCAAACCCAGCCTGGTCAAACTGCAACAAAAAATAGCCAGGCATTGTGGTGGGCGCCTGTAGTCCCAGCCACTTGGGAGGCTGAGGCAAGAAAATCGCCTAAGCCCAAGAGCTAGAGGTTGCTGTGAATGCCACGGCACTCTACCAAGGGTGACAAAGTGAGAGTCTGTCTCTTAAAAAAAAAAAAATTCTGTAACTATGATGAAGACATTTCTTTATCTTGATTTTAGCAGCAAAAACTTAAAAGCATTGTATCATATATTTTAATACTGGATCATATTCACTAGCATTTTGTGATTTACTGTTGTATTTCTGTATGTAAATTATATCAGTTTTAAAATCTTTATAATTACTTATAGTAAATAAAATAGTTAAACATTTCAATTTTGAAATGAACAATTATGTTCATGGGTCAGGAATTAAACCTATTTTATAATATAGGTTCTTGATAAATTTAAAATTTAATCTCAATAATTCTGAATTAATTTGAGTGTCCTTCAGTGAGGTAATATACCTTAACAATCACCTGTATTTTAAAACCATATGTGGTTTTATTATTATTATATTAATACTTTTCTTTTGGCTTTCATACTTAACTGGTAAACTCTTCTGAAAATGTTATTGAATTTTTTTCACCAATTTGAAAATTATTTTCATGAAGAACATGTAATAATATATTTCTTTTTTTTTTAGGTCAAGGGAAGAGACCAAAAATGTTAACATCAAACTTAAACATAATGAAAGAAGATACAAATTATATTTCACCAACACAAAAATTTCAATTTTCCTTCCTTTCTAATAAATATGAACAAGATGATCTTAGTTTAGGAGGGGTAGGTAACAATGACTTACCGCATGTTGTTGGCAAGCTAACATATTCTCAGAAACAAAAAAATCACATTGGCACTGAGATAGCACCTGAGCAAAATGTTCCTGATGATACAAAATCAGTTAATTTTGTAGAAGATAAAGCAGAAAGCACATCAGCATTCCAGAAAAGGTAATTAATTAAATGGTATAAATAATATTCAATGAATAAAATTGAATATTTATATGCATATATAAATGTATTAAATATGGCATAATCTGAATAAGAAAAATAGCAAAATTCTAACTCCTAAATAATTCTGGACTCTCCTTATTTCTGCTACCATAGTCCTAGTCCTACCCGTAAAAATAACCATGACCATAATATTCAGCTATTTTATCTACTACAAATGATACCAGCACGGTACAGGTGGGACACAAATCTTCATTTTAAACAAAATTTCCAGTTGATTGTTATGCACACTAAAGTTTGAGAACCATTTTCTTAAAGTACTAGGCTTTAAGCAGAGGAATGAAATTAGATTTTTCTTTTCTTTAGGTTCATTTTGGCCCCAGTATGGATGTTGAATTAGAAATAAAATGTATTGTGAACATCCACCAACCCCAGGTGACAGAGTGTGACTTTGTCTCAAAAAACAAAAACAGGGTGGCACCTGTGGCTCAAAGGAGTAGGGCGCCAGCCCCATATGCCAGAGGTGGTGGGTTCAAATCCAGCCCTGGCCAAAAACTGCAAAAAAAAGATTATTTTATTGGTGTTGGTGGAAGAAAATGGTGACTTGATCTAAGACAATGGTAGCTGGAATGGGAGGAGTCCAAAATTATGTAGAAGGTAGAACCCCATAAGACTTAAGTGATTATTGGATATGAGATCTGACTTCTGGGTTTTTGGATTAAGCCAGAATGATGAGGGATGATAATGCCCTTTTATGATATACCGCACTATAAAGGAAGAATAGATTTAGGGAAGGAGATGGGTATAGATTTAGACATTTTGATTTTAGATACTTATAAATAGTCCAAATAGACTCTTGAACATATGGGGAAAGTCTAGTTGATAGTTTTTGTTTTCTCTATGACAGGAAATTAGGCTATATGTGGTATCTGAGGGACAAAGTGAGGGTATTGAGTAGGAATGAGAAGAGTGGAAGAAATTATGGAGAATGGAAAGCAATATAATTAGAATAATGGTAGGATTGCTGGACACTGTGAAGAGCTCTGTTGAGGTTTGTTGGGCTAGGACTGATCAGGTCTCTGGTCCCAGCTTAACTATTGTCCAGACTCGGACTGCTGTGCTACCTTGCTCAGGCTCAACTCCCCTTAGGTGCATGAGGGCTATTCGTCTGAGCCAAACAGAGAGAAACCATTTTAGTAAGAGAGTAAATCTTAGCAGTCTTCAAAGAAGGGCACCGGGCAGATGCCCTGCAAGCAGGAGTACAAGAATTAGAGTGAGCAAGTCCATGAAAGAATGAGAACTGAACCCGGACTAACCTCTCCTGCAACTACTTATAGACGTGATCCCATGGCTATTTGCACCACAGGTCTAGAGACTGCTGAGCACTGATGTTCTCATCTTGCATGCTGTCATGTTAAGGAGAGCCGAATCCCTTCCCCATGCCCTTATCACCAAGGTGTAATATGACGGGTGTTTCTTATACTTACAGAGTGTTCCAAGCTTAACTCTCGCTTCTCCTTTATATGGTCTGCTACAGAGATTGATTTCTATAATTTTTTTATACAAACTTTATTAAGATATCCACATACAATAAAATTCACCCTTTGAAGTATAAAAATTTACTGTTTTTATAATATTCATATAGTTGTGCAACCATCATTGTTATCTAGTTTTAAGACATTTACACTTTTAGCTCTTATATTTTGATCAATGAGCTAATGAGTGAAGTAGGATTCCGCCTTCATTTTTTTAATGTGTAGATATTCAGTTGTTCCAGCACCATTTGTCAAAAAGACTATTCTTTCCCTATTGATCATCATGGCACCCTTACTGGAAATCATCTGAGGTCTAGTGTTTAGTAACACTAAGAAATCCTTTGACTCTCTGATGGCAAGATGGTGTCCAGTAATTCAAATCAGTTTTGACACTAACTCCTGGAGTTACCATCAGACCCCACGGGTTAAGGCCTCAGTCCTATGAGGCTGTCCTCACTTCAGATGCCAGGGAAAAATGGGTGTCCATGTTATTCACAATTCTGTCTGGTCAGTTGCAAATTTGAAAGTTCTCATGACCTCACTTTAGGTTCAGTAATTTGTTAGAGTTACTTACAGAATTAAGAAAAACATTTTACCTACATTTGCTAGTTTATTATAAAGGGTATAACTCCAAATGAAAGAGATCCATAGGACACAGTATGGGGGAGGGAGTGCATAATTTTCATCCCTTCTCAGAGTGCCACCTTCTCAGTACCTTTATATGTTCACCAACTCAGATGCTTTTGGAGTTGTTTTTTTTTTTTTTTTTTTTTTCCTGAGCTCTGTTGTTGCCTAGGCTAGAGCGCCATGGGATCAGCCTAGCTTGTAGAAATCTCAAACTCTGGGGTTCAAACAGTCTTTCTACTTCAGCCTCCTGAGTAGCTGAGACTACAGTCGTCCACCAGGATGCCATGCTAATTTTTCTACTTTCGGTAGAAATGGCATCTTGCTCTTGCTCAGGCTGATCTCCGACTCTGAGCTAAAGCCTTCCTCCCAACTTGTTCTCCCAGACTGCTAGGATTACAAGCGTGAGCCGCCATGCCTGGCCTGTGTAAGGCTTTTGGTAGAGGTTCCGTGATTGATGATCTCATCCTTGGACGTCAGGGGTGGAGGAATGGGCAGTAGGATCTGAAAATTCAAACCCTCTAGCAACATAGTTGGTTCCTCTTATAACTGTCCTCCATCCTCAAACTATCTAGGGTCACTCCAGAGTCTTTCTTGCATAAACTCTGGTGTGGTCCAAAGAGATAAAGAAAGGGGCTTCCTGTGAATAACAAAAGATACTCCTGTCATTTCTGTCACTCAAGGGAGCTCTGTGCCAGGTACCAGGGACAAAGACCAAATATAGAGAGTGCCAAAGAAATGTATACACACCATCATGCCTGTCACATGGTGATGCCATTTATTTGATTAATGCCGCCTTTTGAGTGACTGTCATACTATACATTGCTATTGTAATTCAACTTTGAAAAGTGATAATAGGTAAATTCTCTTAAAATGTATATACATTTTTTTGACACCCCTGGTATTCATTTCCTGCTACAACACAAAAAGGTTTACTTCTAGACTCCTAGACTCCTGGTTCCACTCCATTGATGGATACGTCTATTCTTAAGCCATTCCCACACTGCCTTGATTACTAGAGCTTCATATTAAGTTTTCAAATTGGAAAGTGAGTCCTCCAACTTTTTTTCAAGATTGTTTTCAGGGGTTCTCTGCAGAAAGACTGGAGGATGGTGGCAAAAGTGCAGGTTATTGAGACCACTTACAGGCAGGTGACTATGAAAGGATTGTATTTTCAACAAAGTTCCACAAATGAAGAAATAACATTTGTATTTCAAGAAAGGGAAAATCTTCCTGTTACAGAAGATAACTTCGTGAAACTTCAAGTTAAAGCTTGTACTCTGAGCCAGATAAATACAAAGTTTCTGGCAGAAATGAAGATGAAGAAGGATTGGCTGGAATTGTGTTAGAAGTTGGAAGCAAGGTGTCATTCTTTCAACCAGAAGATGAAATAGTTGGAATTTTGCCATTGGACTCTGAAGACTCTGGACTTTGTGAAGTTGTTAGAGTACATGAGCATTATGTGGTACATAAACCAGAAAAGGTCACTTGGACAGAAGCAGCTGGACCCATTTGGGATGGAGTGCCAGCCTAGATAGCACTGCATTACCTTTCTCAGCTCTCTCCTGGAAAGTCAGTGCTGGTCATGGATGGAGCAAGTGCATTTGGTACAATAGCTATCCAGTTAGCACATCATAGGGGAACCAAGGTGATTTCAACAGCATGCAGCCTTGAAGACAAGCAGTTCTGTGAAAGACTTAGGCCTTCTATAGCCCGAGTGATTGATGTATCTAATGGTAAAGTCCATGTTGCTGAAAGCTGTTTGGAAGAAACAGGTGGCCTAGGAGTAGATACTGTCCTAGATGCTAGAGTGAGATTGTATAGTAAAGATGATGCACCCAGCTGTAAAATTACGATTACTACCACATAAACATGATATTATCATACTACTTGGTGTTGGAGGCCATTGGGTAACAACAGAAGAAAATCTTCATTTGTATCCTCCAGATAGCCATTACCTTTTCCTCAAGGGAGCAACAGTGGTTTTCCTTAATGATGAAGTTTGCAATTTGTCAAATGTACAACAGGGAAAATATCTTTGTATCTTAAAAGGTATGATGGAGAATGGTGTTTTTAGACCTCATATGGATGAAGCCATTCCACTGTATGATGCAAAAGTTTCCATGGAAATTGTTGAGAAAAATCAAGAAAGAAAAAAGCAAGTTGTTCAATTGTAATTTTCTTTTTTCTCAGACCTCAGTTGGATGAACCTATCCCATATTTGAAGCCAGAGTTTTCCTTGGAAATTGTTGAGAAAAATCAAGGAAGATAAAAGCAAGTTCTGCTTGTAAGCATGTTTTCCTGCTAAGACAAGATGCTCAGTTATATGACACATTTGAAAACTATTTGAAAAATTGTGTGGACGATCAAGATAATCCTATAACATATGAAGGGAATAGTCTGAAAACCTTTTCAGTTATTGTTTCTATACGCATTTTGCCTCTGCCATAACATTCTTTCCACATAAAAAACCGCTTTCAGCAAAAGCCACATTATACTGATAAAGCTGTTACAGGCCTTTGCTAAACTATCAAAATAATGTTACTAATTTTGTATCAACTATGTTCTCTACACCTCCTTAACTAGCCATTGCTGTCACAATTTAAGCATTTGAATTTATTTTCAAGTCTCAACAACAAAAAATTGTTTTCACTAAACTGGGTCCTTTGCATTTCTATATGAATTTTAGTGTAAGCTTGTCAATTTCTGCAAAGAAGCCTGTTGGAATTTTAATAAGGATTGTGTTGAATCTGTATACTAACTTGAGTATTGCCATCCTAATAATAATGTTTAGTCTTTTAATATGAATGAACATAGGATATCTTTCCATTTATTTAGGTTTTTTTTTTAATTTCTTTCAATGATGCTTTATGATTTTTATTCGTAAGTATTTTTTCTTTTCTGATGCTATTATAAGTGGGATGTTATTTCTTAATTTCTTCAGCTCTTCTGTTGCTAGTAGATAGAAATAAAGTTAATTTTTGTATATTGATCTTGTGTCCAGCAACCTTGCTGATGATGACTATAAATTTTAATATTACTCATCTATCCAACAAGTCTGATTTTTTTTTTTTCCTGGTAGTGTTTCACTATCTGGCTGAAATTATTTTTAAAAAGTAGATAGTTTCATTTATGATTGAGGTTTTTCAGTGTAAGTATGATGAAATGATAATTGAAAAGAAGAGTTTAGAATATTGATAAGAAAGTAGTCAAAAAGATAGGCCATGGAATATAAGTCCATAAAAAAAAATAGGTGAGAAAAAAGAACCTATTTGGGAGAAAATAGGTTAATTTGTTCTTTAATCTCATTGGAACCTTCAACAAACAAGCTAAAAATATCAACAGTAGGTGTGGTCAGAGAATGGTATCTCAGAATTATTGATTGAGGAGAACAGCAGTTGTGCCTAGTACAAAGTAATAGGTACAACTGTAACAGTAAGTGCTGAGATTACATGAAGGAGAAAGCCATTGGAGATGAATTAGAAGTGGCTTTTTAAATCTCTTTCTTAAGCATTTTATTGTCTTTAAAATGTACATTAGTTAGTTATTGTATAACAGATTATTCCAAAACTTAGTATCTTAAAACAACAATAAACACTTATCTGTCACAGTTTCTTTGGTTAGGAATTTAGGAATAACTTAACTAGTAGTTCTAGCTTATGGTCTCTCATGAGAATACATAAAGATGTTGGGGGCCTCTCATAGGGAGGCTACAATCAAAATGTTAGCCAATGGCACACCTCTTGGGGGTGGGATGCAATTATAAGAGAGACTTTACCTAACATACACAATCAGTGTAATCTAATTCTTTGTACCCTCAATGAATCCTAAACAATAATTTAAAAAAAAGTACATTTAAACCCAAGCAGGTCACCTAGAATTTTGTTTTTGTAAGAGAAACAAATTGTAGTGCAGGATAGTCAAATGCTCTATCCCTTTGTGTTTTTTGGGCAATTACATGATGGTTTGGGGTTTTCAATAGGGTGACCAGATGTCCCACTTTTGGCGGGACAGTCCTACTTTTTAACAATTTGTCCTGCATCCCACAGCGTTTTAAAAAAGTCCCGATTTTTGGAAAGAATGCACGAATGGGCGGGAGAACAGGAAGGGAATATACGATTTTCAGCTGTCATGTGGCTATTTTGCCAGAATATGAGTTTTATATTATTTTTGTTAATTTTATAATGTTAAACTATAATAATAACAAATAATTGTTGAGAAGTGATTATCGAGAACAGCTTACCAAAGTTTGCATTGTTGTCAGGCCCTGCCCTGCCCTGTCCCCTGCCCTGCCCTGTCCCCTGCCCTGCCCCCTCCCCATGTTGTCCCGCTTTACAAATGTTAAAATCTGGTCACCCTAGTTTTCAATGAATATCTTAGAACTGAAAAAAAAAATGTTAGCAAGACTACAGTCATTTGAAAGCTTGACAAGCACTCTAGGATCTGTTTTCAAGGTAGCTTGCTGTCCTTAACTGGCAAGTTGGTGCTGGTTGTTGACAGGGAGCCTCACTACCTCTCCGCATGGAGTTGCTTGAGTGTTTCTGTCATGTGGCTAAGTCCCCCAGAGAGTGAGAGATCTAAGAAATCATGTGGAAGGGACGATGTCTTTTATAACTTCACCTTGAAAATCACATACCTGCTCTTCTATAGTAGTCTACTAATTACACAGTTCAATCCTGATTCAACAATTCAATTTGTAGAAGATTAATTGCAAACGAGTAAGGATCATGTGAAGATCACTGGGGGCATTTTGGAGGCTAGATACCACAAATGGATTTATCTGAGTTTTAGGAAAGCGGAAAAACATAATTCAGTGGTAAATTTAACATGTCATATTTTAGGAGAAATGATTAACTTTTTTTGTTTGAATAAACTATAATCTATGAGTTATTTTTAAAGGGGATAATCTTATGCTAGTTTTTTTTATGTTCAAAGCACCTGGTACAAGTGGAAAATGTGTGTGGTATTGGTTTTTTTGCAGATTATTTAAGATATCTGACAATATATATGAAAGTGCTTATTCCAATGACAGTGCAAACTTGGACTCTCACATTGGCTCAGTGAAAATTGTTCAAACAGAAATGAACAAAGGGAAATCAAGAAACACTAGCAGTAGTAAAGATAAACCTCAGTATTCTGCAAATATGTTTATAGCAAATGATGCTTTTTCTGCTTCTGAAATTGGAGACAGCATATTCAAAGCACCATCTTTTTCAGTTGCTTCCCAGCCTCGTGATACTCAAGGTAATTCTTTGCTTTTTCAGTTGGTTTTATAAAAGTACAAATTAATCTACATTTCTTAGCATAGGGAAAAATAAATATAGTAATTTTGAGAAAGTTATCTCTCTGTGACATTTCTTTATTTCTTTATTACTGCATTACTATATTATGTGTTAAAATATTTTTAGCTGTGTATTAAAAATACTTTGCATTTTGTTCTCAATAAAAAGTTATGCAAGTTTTATTAGGGTTATTTTTATGGAAAAGTTTAAAAATATATAAGTATGTATGATTATTTTTTTAGGGGTCATAGGAAATCGTTTAGGTTCCCTGAAGGCTGTCACAGAAATTCGTATCCTTTGAATTATTTATAACAGTTGCTTTGTATTTATGAAATCATAATTTTTAAACATTTTGTTTATGTTTCTATTTGTTTATTTTGGCTGACAAAGAAAAATAGGGAAAAGTGAATCTTTGGGTTATCTAAGAAATAAATGTATATAAAACCTTTGCTGCTCAGAGGGTGTTCTTCACACTGGTACCAACTCATGAAATGTTTGTTGTCGGTCTGTGACAAGGTAAGTACCCCAATCAACTCTGTGTTATTGTCAGAACTCTTGAACATCCTGTATTTATTTATAAACAGATTCAGGTAATTTCTTTTCTTTTTTTTTTTTGAGACAACATTGTTGTTTGGCAGGCCTGGGCTGGGTATTCGAACCCGCCACCTTAGGTGTATGTGGCTGGCGCCTTAGCCGCTTGAGCCACAGGCGCCAAGCCTGTAATTTCTTATACTTTGGGTAAGAATAGCCATATTGGGATAAACTGGGTAGGGGAAATGTATGGGAATGGGACAGTATGTGGAGTAGGGACATTTTAACAAACCTATTATTTTTTAAAGAACCTAATTTGTGGTTTATACACATATACACATATAATACAATTTATACGTTGAGCATTTCTAGTATAAATATGTTGAGCATGTGTGTGTGTTCTGGAGGTAACATCCTTTTTGCTTCTTTAATACCCCGTATACCTGTAAGTGTCTTATTCTGCATTAACTTACTATTAACTTACTATTCTTTATTAACTTACATAAACTGCATTAGCTATTTATGTGAGTATTTCCCCATAACCTATTAACTCTTTGAAGGCAAAGATCATGCCTTATTATAAAGTAAGGAAGGTGTTAGGGCAGAGGAGTAGTCATGAGGAAGGTGAAGTAAAGTGTGGAATACGTTTGGAATGACTAAGTGCTCCAACTTGGCTGAAGTAAAATATATGATTAAAGGAGGAGTAGAAAATAATGTTAGATAGGTATCTTAGGATTAGATCATTTAATGCAGTGGTTCTCAACCTGTGGGTCATGACCCACAGAAACTGTATTAAAGGGCCATGGCATTAGGAAGGTTGAGAACCACTGATTTAATACTATGAATAATAAGGTCAAGGGTTTTTTGTTTTTATTTTTTCCTTGGCTTTCTTGAGGTATATTTGACAAATAAAAATTGTGTATTTGTTCATCCTTTTTCCTATCTGACAACGTGGATAAGAAGTAGCAGAATTTATAGGGTTGCTGTGAGTGCTAGGCACATTATTGGAGATATAGTGAGAAGTCAATAATGGTAGAAATGATAATTAAAATTCTCTTAATCTCTGGTAGGGTGTGGTGGCTCACACTTGTAATCCTAGGACTCTGGGAGTCTGAGGTAGGTGGACTGCCTGAGCTCACAGGTTTGAGACCAGACTGAGCCAGAGCGAGACTTTGTCTTCTAAAAATAGCTGGGCATTGGGCGGTGCCTGTGGTTCAGTGATCAGGGCGCCGGCCCCATATATATGGTGGCGGGTTCAAACCCGGCCCTGGCCAAATTGCAACAAAAATAGCTGGGCGTTGTGGCAGGCGCCTGTAGTCCCAGCTTCTCGGGAGGCTGAGGCAAGAGAATAGCCTAAGCCCAGGAGTTGGAGATTGCTGTGAGCTGTGACATCATGGCACTCTACCATGGGCAATAAAGTGAAACTCTGTCTCTACAAAAAAAATAAATAAAAATAGCCGGGCATTGTGGCAGGCACCTGTAGTCCCAGCTACTTGGGAGGCTAAGGCAAGAGGATCACTTGAGTCTAAGAGTTTGAGGTTGCTGTGAGCTATGATGACTCTATCAACGGCAACAAAGTGATACTGTCTCCAAAATAAGATAAAATAAAATACCCTTATCTCTAAAAAAATTGTATACATGAAAGATATACCATACATTGTGATGTTTTGTTATATGTATACATTGTGAAAATGATTACCACTATCAACCTAGTTAACAACCCTATCACCTTACATAGTTACTGTTTTACTTTTGTTGTGAAAATACTTAAGATCTGTTTTCTTAGGGCTGGGCAGGGTGGCTCATGCCTGTAATCCTAGCACTCTGGGTGGCCGAGGTAGGTGGATTGCCTGAGCTTACAGGCTTGAGACTAGCCTGAGCCAGAGTGAGTGAGACCTTGTCTATAAAAATAGCTGGGCATTGTGGTGGGTGCCTGTAGTGCCAGCTACTCAGGAGGTTGAGGCACAAGAATCTCTTGAGCCCGAGAGTTTGAGGTTGCTGTGAGCTGTGATGCTACAGCAAGGGCAACAGACTGAGACTCTGTCTCCAAAAATAAAGAGAAAAGATCCATTCTCTTAGTATCTTGTTTTTTATTTTATTTATTTTAAAATTTTTTATTTTATTTTTTTATAAGACCTTGCCATGTTGTCCAGGCTGGTCTGAAACCCCTGGCCTCAAGAGATCTTCCTGCTTCTCACCATGTCCAGCTTGTTTTTAATAAATTTAAGCAATGAAGAGAAACTATGCTATATTTTTGAGTAGGTGAGGTTATATCTTCAAATCTATACATTAGAAATATGGAAGTAGTGACTCAATGCTGAGGAATACGCTAGAATACACAAAAGTTATAACAGAAGCAAATTCCAAATATTGGGCAGATCTAATTCTGGATACTCTGGGATTCATCTGAGATCATTCTGAAGTATGGTTAGAAAATATTTGCTTGAGCATTTATGAAAAATTGCCTCTATAGCAAATAATTGAGTTAAAATAGGGTGAGGGGACAATAAGAGAATTTGATGATACAACTGTAGACATAGCTGGTCTCTAGCACTTTCTTCAATGTGGTTTCTCTATTTTGACACACTTCCTTTTCTCTGGTGCTCAAAATAGGATGGGAACATAGGAAATAGATTAGCAGTAGGCAGTTGAAAGGTTGTTTAATTGTATGATGGGAAATTGTTCTTCTCTTTTACTGGAAGCCATTCCATAATATTTTTGTCAGTTAAAAAGGCCAAAGACTTTATTTTGTTTTCAGGGGAATGCATGTAAATATAAACAAAAAGCAAATAAAAAGCCCCAAATCTCATAGACTAGAAACATGCCAAGATGGAACATTTTTTGCAGACCAAAAAGTCCTGCTAAAGTGATAAAGGAGATCTGGAAAGTGGTAGCCCAAAGGGATGGGGCACTGCCTTTTAAAGAGTTCTTTTGTTTGTTTGGTTTTGGTTTTTGTTTTTTGAGACAGAGTCTCATTCTGTTGCCCTGGGTAGAGTGCCATGGTGTCATCACATCTCACAGCAACCTCAAACTCTTGGGCACAGAGTTTGCTTCTTGCCTCAGGCTCCTGAGTAGCTAGGATTACAGGTGCCTGCAATGCCTGGCTAGTTTTTCTGTTTTTAGTAGAGATGGGGTCTCAATCTTGTTCAGGCTGGTCTTGAACCCACCCACCTTGGCCTTTCAGAGTACTAGGATTATAGGCGTGAGCCACTGCACCTGGCCTTTTTAAACAGTTTTTAAAAAGATCTTTACACTGTATTAGCACAGCTGAACTGGTTCTGTTGTTTAGGTGTCTTTGTTAGTTAAGACTACTGCCTACATTGTGTCCATTGATTTATTATCCAAAAGGTTCGTTTGTTGTCAAACTCATTGTACTATACCTCATTGTTTCCAAGTATGTGTTTCAAGTGGAAGACTACATCCTATTTGTGGTAATTTGAGAGTTTCTGGGTTACTTTGACACAACTTATTTTCTGATTTTTAAAAAATAATGTATTGTATTTATATCCTCAGGACAAGAGAGGTTTTGTCAGACTTATCCTGCTATAGTACTCTTGTCATTTTTAGTTCCTCAAATAATTTACGGATTATAACATAATTGCAGTAACACTGCTGATAGTTTGTTGAATGAAAGGAAATTTTTCTTAGGTCTTGATAGTAATGATAAATTATGTTAGTATTTGAGTTTGCTCGTGAGCTGAAAACCTGATTCTACATCTACTCTGAATCAAAGATTCATTTCTGTGAATATAAATTGATGTAGAAATATGAGAGAAAAACCAGCATTATGGCCCACTTGAAGGGCTTGTTACAAATATTTTATAGAAAGAGACAAATTTTGAAGGAAAAATGAGACTCCTTCAAAAGCTGATGGATTTACAAACTCAAAATTATGTTTTTGTTTTGGCAGAAATATTCTGACATTCTTCACAACAGAAGGTAAAATGAAGATTCATAAATGACTTGATTAACTACTTGATAAATGCTGACCAATGCTAACTGTGTTCTTATCATGTGTCAGGTACTCTTCTAGGTATTTGGGGGTATTTCACTTAGGAAAGCAGTGAATCCTTGCCTTTGAGGAATTAACATTTTTGGCATAAGGGTGAGTAAGAGGACAGGTTAGAACAATTTTAACAGTATATAAATACATCATAAGGTATTTTAGAAGGTGATAAATATTATGGGAAAAGAAAATAGTAGAGAAGAGTAAGTGGATTAAATTGGGACTGCTGGGATTCAAGGCTCAGGGTCTAGAATTAAATAGAGTAATTAAGGCAGGCTTTCTTAGAAAGATCAGATTTAATCAGTTAGTGAAGGAGAAAGAGCCAAGGAAATATGGAGGGAGGAATAGACTAGGGCCAGTGGTGGGGAACCTGCGGGCTTCAGACCACATGTGGCTGGCTCAGCGCCCATAGATTAGTGGTTAGGGCATCAGCCACATATACTGGGGCTGGTGGGTTTGAACCCGTCCCAGGCCTGCTAAACAACAATGACAACTGCAACAAAAAAATAGCCTGACATTGTGGCAGGCACCTGTAGTCCCAGCTACATGGGAGGCTGAGGTGAGAATTGCATAAGCCCAAGAGTTTGAGGTTGCTGTGAGCTGTGACACCACAGCATTCTACTGAGGGTGACATAGTGAGACTCTGTCTCAAAAGAAAAAAAAAGAAGATCCCTTGTGGCCTTCTGGGTTTTTATTGTTGTTTGGCAGGCCTAGGCTGGGTTTGAACCTGCCAGCCCTGGTATATGTGGCCAG